GTATTGTCAAGAGGAAAATGAGAAACAAGAGACCAAAAAATGCAGATGAGCTGAAGGCCACTGTCAAAGAAACCTGGGCTTCCATACCACCTCAGCAGTGCCACAAACTGATCACCTTCTAATTTGTTGAGATAGTGAATTGGTGGGTTTTTGTTAAATGTGAGCCAAAATCATCACAATTAAAAGAACCAAAGACTTAAACTACTTCAGTCTGTGTGCATTGAATTTATTTAATACACGAGTTTCACAATTTGAGTTGAATTACTGAAATATATGAACTTTTCCATGACATTCTAATTTATTGAGATGCACCAATGAGTTTATGAATGAAATAAGCGCAAATAAAACAGCAGTGTTGCAGTTGCCTTTTTCCATGCATTTCCTGGAAATGACTTAAATCAATTTCCATATTTCTAAACTGCGTAGGAACCCTTACTGTTTTAATTTAGATATTTAAATATTTATTTATCGGATCACGAAAGGTCCCCAAGCTGGGACTCGAACTCACGTTGCTCGAAGCACAACCGCACTACATCTCGAAGCACTGCCTATACAAGGAAATCGGCTCCGACTGTTAGAAGATATTTAAATACATGTTATAATCATAAATAAATAATAATTTTAGTTAAACACAGCATATTTGTTCAGTGATAACTACAAAAGAAGATAGGCTGTAAAACCATAAACATAACGGTCTTATCAAATATAACTGTACGAAGTTCTGGTTCAAGCTCCGCCTACTTCCGGTTTTATCCGAATACAGATACAGATACAAATAATTTTGTGATTGTTACAGATACAAATGCAGATACAAATACTGGCTTCGCTGCACAACCCTAGTAATAACTCACAGCTGTAATATTCAATCTTGTGCCGAGAGTGACAGATTTTTTATCTTCTCGTGAGACAACAACTTGACAGGGCCCAGTGATGAAATATGGCCAAAACAAAGGAGCGGCGGCTGGGATTAAACAGGATTAAATAGAGGGCCGACACACACTCAAGCCCCTCTGATGTGTGTCTCTTGCAAATGTCAGATGCATCTCTGCTTTCCCATCCATCTGTCATTCTTACATTCACATGTTTTTGATTTTTTTCTCTGTTAGATTATTTCTTTATATTTATGTTTGTATAAAGCATATGCACTACCGTTCAAAAGTTTGGGACCATGATTTTTTTATTTTTTTTAAGAAATCTCTTATGCTCAGTAAGGCTGCATTTCTTTCTTCAAAAATACAGTAAAAACAGTAATATTGTGGAATAGTATTACAACTGTAAAAAAAAAATTGTTATTTAAATTACATTTATTTATTTATTTATTTTTATTTACTTTACTTACGTACTTGCTTTTGAGTTTTAACACCTGCTGTAGTATTTTTATTTTTATTTTATTTATTTATTTTTGGAAACTAATTTTAGTTGATGGAAACAGCATTTAAAGTAGAAATGATTATTATTATGATGATTATTATTATTATTATTATTAATATTCACATTATTTATTAGTAGTATGTATTACTTCAGTTTTGTAAATTGATAAGCTATTTATACATATAAACTATTTAATTTATACACCTATAATATTTACTACAAATAAGATGAAAACAAAATCTTTAAAATTTCAGTGGGCCTCATTCAAGAAACACAAACAGGCAGAGTACATTTCTGTGTGAATTGCTTGCAAAATCAAATGTCGCAAAATTGAAATGTTGGGTAACACTTTATTTTAATAAAGACCAGTTCTCACTATTAAGTAGTTGCTTATTAGCATGCATATTTCTAGCATATTGGCTGTTTATTAGTGTTTATAAAGCACATATTAATGCCTTATTCTGCATGACCATATTTTAGACCCCTAATCCTACCCCATACCTAAATTTAACTACCTTATTAACTATTAATAAACAGCAAATTAGGAGTTTATTGAGAGAAAACAATTAGTTAATAGTGAATATTGGTTTTCCACAATCGAAAGTGTTACAAATGTTGCATTCAGTTCAGTGCTTACACTGTTTTCTTAATTTTAAAAAATCCCAAATTATAAAATTGCCTTTGAAATTGACTAAATCTGATCAAACTATTCTTAATCTGTCAAAAGATTAAAGATTTCGTATTCAGAAATAGGGCTTTCATTTTGACACTGACCATCTGTATTATGTCCTAGGTATTGTACTTCTGATATTCCAGTCATGAGAAGCCATAACCCACTGGCTTTCAACTTACTTTAATCTAAATCTGTTCCATCCCAAGGCCTCGTTTCAGACCTGCTGTCCCAATCTACCCATCTGTAATGTCCCTTCCCTTGGAGTAAAACGGTTTTATCCCCTGCTTGGTGTTTGAACTTGACTTTAAGTCATAAAGAATTGCCCCTCCACACACACAAACACATACACACACAAGCTTTCATTTCCTTAAACTATTAAAATAAAAGCGTTTTAAAACAGAGCATGCTAACAAGAAGTGGCATGGTGATCTCCTCAGGCGCAATTTAGGACAGTTTCTAAACATCTACCTGGATTTCTCTTTCTCTCATCGCTCTCAGATATGGTGCAGGCTGGTCACAGCAGCATATAATTATTTCCATGTGACCAACTTCTTCTGGATGTTTGGAGAGGGCTGCTATCTGCACACAGCCATAGTACTGACATACTCCACCGACAAACTGAGGAAATGGATGTTTATCTGTATAGGCTGGTGTAAGTATCCCATGATGCACTACAATGGAAATTATCCAGTTTTTGGATCATGCATATTGAAAATAACTGACTTATGGCATGTGCAGTCACATGTACTTGAACATGTCACATGTATTGCTGATATAGGATTATTCCACATCGAGTTCTTGTTTTTGTGCCTCATACCTGTGTAAAGATCTATGAATAGTTTATGATAGCTTAAAATAGATTTTAATATTTTTCTAAACACATTAACAAAAAATGCAGTAAGTTTATTACTGTATTTTAGTGTATTTTATTTTATTTTATTAACATATTAAAAATTGTATTTAGCTTGAGATTGGGAAATTTAAATTTATTAACACTTAAACACATTATATGCCTGATATAATTAAAATAATAATATAATATAATAACAATAATAAATCAATCAATCAATCAACTGGGAAAGGCACCTGTTTCATAGAATGGCATATTGTTTTATAGAATGTACTTTAAAGTTAGTGTGATACGCAGTACACAATCCATTTTACTTCCATAATCTGAAGTAATCTGTGTCATATAGGAAATGTAGGGATGGATTTATGACATCAGTGAAAGAGGAAAGTCATTTTGATTAATAATTAAGCAGACAAACATTTTGGGACACAGAACTGAGAAAGCAAATAAGGTCATTTCTGATTTCTTGTTGCCTTTAAAGTAAAGCCAGAGATTAAATTACTGTCAATTAATAACTTGAAAAAGAGTCACAGTTACAGTAGTAGATAATTACACTAATGAGGACTGCAATTTAATCAGGTTCTCTTCTGAATCATGGGCAAATTATTATTATGCGAATAAACAAGCCTTGGATTTTCCTCATTAAAAATGCATTGCAAATAAGTCATTGCTGAGGATTTATCACACAGTTCCTTAATAGTATCAATTATACTGTCTGTACAATGTCTTTGATTTTTTAAACTAATCTGAGTGGGTGGAAATTTCCTCTGCTTTTTTCTGCAGGTATTCCATTCCCCATTATCGTTGCATGGGCCATTGGCAAGCTGTATTATGACAATGAAAAGTAAGTTTCTCCCATGCTGAAGCTTTCTTCCATTTTCTTTCTTTTTTATCTCTGTATAATTCCTGCATTTTACTCTAAACACATGCAAACCGCCTCACCCCATTTACAATAAAAGCAATTAAAGGTTAGATTAACCCCAATTATCTCTGTCATCTACCCTCACTCTGGTCATTAAACAATCGATTCACGATAAAGCCAGAGAATTCATTCTGCACTCTTAGGCTAATTAACGCCTGCTACTCACAAAATTTGTTAGTGGCACTGATGTAAACATCCTACAGTTCAATAGTCAAGACGTGATATATACAGTACAAGATCTCCTGTATAAAAAGACTCTCTGTGATAAAAAAAAACATATACACTTATATTAGACACTTTAAAAGGATGGATTAGGGCAAATATTCTCCTCATTAGCTACTTTAGTCTCAAAATGGGAAACATAACAAACAAACAAAGAATGAAAAATGTACATTTATTTCTATTAAATGGGGGAGATGGATATATAATATGAATTGTCAAGGCTTGACATTTGTGCTTAAGCACATAAAATATGTACAACTAATACTAAGTATAACATTAATAACATAAAATGTAATAATGTATGTTTAATACCCTAATTGATTTTTTACATTTAAAGTGACATTACATAATGAAAAATTAGAGAGTGTTCGATAATTTGATAGATAGATGGATAGATGGATGGATGTGTGGATGGATGGCTAAAAGGGGACTTTTTTATTCTCCTTTGTCTGTGTATAGAGAATAAATGCCAAGTTCTGTCATGAAACTCTAGATGGCACAAGCTGATGGGTTCTTAACGCAAACTGATGATATTCACAGTGTTAAACTACTTGGCACAAGCTGATTGTTTCATGTTGCATATACAACCTGAGCTTGCTGCTTTACATTTAAATGACTGGTTAGCATTCACTAGAGCATTTTGCAGCACGCTTTCACAGTTCCTCTGAAAACCTCCACCTTCCCCAGCGCCACCTGTATAGATCTGCTTCGAGTTATTTTATATGCTATTTGTGCAGCAGCAGTATGTCTTAAATACTCACAGCACTGTATCAGCGTATGTTTTGGCAGTAGCAAGTTCCTGTACTTGCTTTGCAGCAGCAGCAGCAATAATCTACAACAGCAATAACCAACAGCAGCAGCAATTCAGGAGCGTAGCAGATCTATTCTGCCAAGACCAAATACATTAACATTGTCATATCCATTACCATGCTAAAATCATCAGAGAGTTGTCATGAAAGAAATAACATTGTCCAATTTGAACTTTATACTTGTGTGTGAATTGTTGTTAATTGGAGGCTCTGAAGTGTTAACAAACTAAACCGTTTCATTTCCTGGACAAGAGTAATTAAAGAGTCTCTGTTAACAGTCCTTAACACCTCTTTAATTCTCTTTCTCACTTACATCTGCTGTACACTGTAAAGCAGTGCTGCTCTACTGGTGCATTTGACCCAAAAATGGGTCACAGTTCTGCACAGCAAGGAAACAATGCAAAATAAAAATAAAAAAATATAGCTGCAAGCAGTGATAATCGGGGTTCAAGCGGGGTTTAAGGCATTTAAGCACATATGAAAAAGACATTACATATTATTTGGCAAGCCTGTAACCACCTAAATCAATGATTTAAAAAAAATAATAAAAATAAAAAAAACATTTTTGGCAAATCCAGGTAATTTACCATAGACATATGATGATTTTTAACGTTTATGACTGTTATAGCGTCGTTTATGACTCTTAAAGCACCACCTGTGGTTCAATCGCCATACAACTTTGCATGTTTGTTTAGAATCACCTGTTGCATGTGCTCACCTACAGTAGTTTTGTTTAGGCTTTATAGACTTTTGGGTATATTTAGACAGGCCCCTTTTCTAAACAACCCCATTATAGCTACCCAAAGAGTAAAGTTATTTTATTTTTTTTATAATTATTGACCTAGAGAGTCCAGCGAATTGTACTGCAGTGTTTTTGTTTTAGTTTTTTCGAGATTGAGTGAAAAACCTATGGCTAGTTTGCAAAAGTTATTATACATATTCTCAATTATGTAGCAAACAATTTGATTGACATAAGTGGTTCTAGACGCAGAGTTGCTCGGAATGAGGAGGTCTATCAGATTATATGAATTTTGTTTGTATGTGTGAAAAACCGCGCAATAAACAATCGTTTATGGCCTTGAAAAATGCGATATCGCCCCCCAGTGACCGATTTCTTTCAAATTTCTTACAGACCTTTAGGGCAGTTGTTCCCAACTATATATATATATATATATATATATATATATACACATGCAATAATAATACTCATATTTTTTGTATGCACATTTGACAGTAGCTTGAATTGACAGTTGTAGTAGCTTGAGTTAGGCTGCATATGTAAAATTATGTTCATTATAAAAAACAATAACATCTGTAAAATTGTAACAACCTCATTTTTATATAGTAAAATGTAATTATTCTGACTGTTTGAGTTTTATTAAAATTAACCATTGTTCTTTCATAGTAGCCTACATTTAGATCATGATAACCAGAGTTAAAACCACACATACAGCACCTCAATACCATAGTATTGCAACTATATGGTTTCTATGTATTTGTATGAAAAACAGTAGTCTAATTACATTTAGTATAAATGCACAAATGCTTAGCTTAATCAAAAAATACTGTAATTATATTCCATTACTCCTTTGATATGTTTAATACATATCTACATTAATAATATAATTCGATATGAATATCCCACATTTCTGCCACAATACCATGGTGCCATTAGTGTACTACAGTAAATCCATGTTAACGCCTAAATGATGGTGATTTGTAGATTGAAAAGCCTTCTGACTGTCTCATTGCGCACAGTGTTCCTCCTGTTTGTCAGCATTGTTTCATCTGGTTTTAAACTAGTTTAAATCACTGAGTCGCAGTGGTTCCCAACCACAGGTGAGTCATGAGTCAAACAGGCCCACTGAGTTTAATTCCGATCGACCTCCGTTAACCTTGTCTGATAGGTGCTCAAATGTCATTGGCCAATGGTGGGCATGTTTTTTGATGTACGCAAATGTCCTTATGAACACTTGTGGCACTTTGGACAAAGACACGGCATACCAATTTTGAACCAATTATAATGGTTTTTATGTTTTTTTCCCTCCTATAGTGCCACCAAGTGGCCAAGCTCTACGTTTTTTTCATGTGACCTCAGATTGAGCTCTTACATAAGTGTTCTGAGTTTGGCGAAGATATGTCATTCTGTTCAAAAGTTATAGCCATTTTAGTAAAAGTGGCTCTGCCCCTTTTGAACGTTTTGGCATCCCTTTGTGACGGTGAGTCGAAGGTTCAACTTTTTTTATATATATATATATATATATAATTGTTGATATTCACTCTCCAGAGAATCTTTGTGAACTGGTTTGGTTACGATCAGGTGAAAAACCTAGGACTAGTTCGCAAAAGTATGTTTTTCAAAAAATCCAAAATACATGAAAATTTCACCAGGGTGAAGATCGAATCTGAGGCATGTGTTTGTCTGATTCCTAAGACATAAGGCACTTGAGCCTGCAACTAACGGTTTAGGAGTTATGATCGATTTCATACTTTTGATTGCTGTAGCATCCTCATCAGGCCGATTTGGACGAGCCTTGGTGACATTGTAGACAGTGTGAGTACTACCATGTCTCCAAGTTTCAAGGCTCTACGACTTACGGTCTGGTCTGCCCGATCAATTTTACGTGGAGATTGCTGATCCTTGGCCATTCTAACAATTACAATAGGGTTTCAGCACTACGCACTTGAACCCCTAAATAAAATGCAACTAAGCATATTATAGTACACAAATGATTCTGTTGATGTTAATGTCAAAGGCTGTACAACAAGGTGGATGCTAGGGTGTTTTGTTTTGAAAATTTATGTGATTTAAAGGCATAGTTCACCCAAAAATGAAAATTCTGTAATCATTTACTCACCTATAAGTTGTTCCAAACCTGTATGAGTTCCATTCTTCTGCTGAACACAAAAGATCTGTTGAAGAATGTGAGGTAAACCAAACAGTTTCTGGTCCCCATTGACTTCCATAGTATTTTTTTTCCATACTGTGAAAGACAATGGAGACCAACAAGTGTTTGTTACCAACATTCTTTAAAATACCTTTTTTGTGTGTTCAACAGAAGAAAGAAACTCATGCAGGTTTGTGAGTGAGTAAAGGATGACAGAATTTTCATTTTTGGGTGAACAACTGTATCCCTTTAATAGAGACTAGCCAAATTAGCCTAGCCCTTACTAATTGACATTTGACAGGATGGACAGGTTGCATGGAACATTAAAGAAATATATACATGAGGTCGAAGAAAATATCACCCAGACCACATTAAATATGTGATAAATTATTTAAGTACTGTTGTAGATGGCGCTGGAAAAGCATTTTTAAAACATGCACATTTAAAAACATGTGCATGTTTTACCAGGATGAACCTGTGCATGTCTTTGGTTGAGCTCCACAAATGACAGCATTTTGCCATTCAGACGTATCCCCAAACGCCACGTTTCTCTCTTCCTGTAAAACTGAAACACTCACCCGAGACAGTCTTGATTATGCCGTGTACCCAACTGAAACGGTAAGATTAACAAATCTGGTGCATATCTTCCCAAGGGACACACTTGCCTTCTCTTCGGCTTTGTTTCTTTTTTATAGAGAGAAAAGTTTATTTTTAGATATTTTTCCAGCGGATCTTCTTTATTCACTTTACTAGACTTGCTTGTTTAATCATTGTGCTAGAATAATAAATAATTACCCCAAAATCCATTTATATTGTTACACGGATAAACAGTCATGCTGTATCTGAAGAAATGGGGTCAACATATTATATATACTGTATAATTATTTTCTGGGCTTCGTGATGTGCATGTATAATCATTTTCTGTGCTTCGTGATCTTATTTTGTCTGTGCAGGTGCTGGTTTGGGAAGCGGGCCGGCATTTACACTGATTATATTTATCAGGGTCCCATGATCCTGGTCCTACTGGTGAGTCAGAACAGTTTTGGTTCTTGCCCAATTACACAAACGTTTCAGGAATATTTTTTATTTGTTTGGTGCTTCCCCTTTCAGGAGTTTTATTATGTTTTCTGTGATTTATGTTTGTAATTTCATATTGATAATTCATGTCTGGCACTCAAGTGTGCAAAATTTTGTTTTTTTCTCTCTTCCTCTCTCCATCTTTAGATTAACTTCATTTTTCTCTTCAACATTGTGAGGATACTGATGACTAAACTGAGGGCCTCCACCACCTCAGAGACCATTCAGTACAGGTGAGGCAGACTGTTCAGCACTGACAGATCCCAGAATAAAGTTTTCTCACTCAGAGGTTGCTCGTTGTTAGCCCAGGAGACTTATTAGCAGGAACGCGAATGTTTGCCATTCAGAAAACTCAATAAATCCCCCTGCCACTTAAGTTTTTATTTCATTTTGGTTAATTTGACTATGTTAGCTAGCAAATGAGTAGCTCTCAACAACACACACTACCATGCAAAAGTTTGAGGTTGGTATGACTTTAAAATGCTTTTTAAACAAGTCTTTTATGCTTACCAAGGCTGTATTTATTTGGTCAAAAAAGATAAAAACAGTACTGTGAAAATACTGTGAAATATTATTACAATACAAAATTTCTGTTTTCTGTGTGTGTGTGTGCGTGCGTGCGTGCGTGCGTGTGTGTGTGTGTGTGTGATGCTCATATTCCCTCCAGCTATGACTAATGTCTTTGACAGTCACAGTCAGTGGCCCATAGCAAATGCAATACATACTGCTTAAACCAAATTCATCTCAATGTCATCCCATTGAACTCTTACTGTGATGTTATTCTGCGTAACGGTATTCAGGCACTACTGACCTAAAAATACTAAATTAATCATATTTTTTAAAACTTTTTTACTTTTTTTTTTTTGTATATCTCAATTCATGAAATAAACTAAAGTTTGTTTGTTAAATGTGGTTTTAATTGGATGATGATTTTGTATGTTAAATATCTAATGAAATGCCTCATTTCATTTATTTATAAAATAGAATAAAATAAAATAAAAATATAATATAACTCATATACTCATTTAGAGTATGATTTAAAACTTATAATTTTGTTCAGTGTAAATAAAATAAATAAAAAATATGTACTTTAATGTAAATGCTGATCACTGTATAAAATAAAGTAGAAAATATTATTTCCTCTTTCAACATTTCCTTTAAAATCTTAAAGTCTTAAAATATCTTTAAACGCAATATGGCTGCCGTCGCATAATCCAGGTGGATGCTGCACACTGGTGGTGGTTGAGGAGATTCCCCCCTTCTTTCATGTAAAGCGCTTTGAGTACCCAGAAAAGCGCTATATAAATGTAACGAATTATTATTAATTATTATTATTTAAAACCGTAAATCTGTGTGTATTTTTTGGCACTACCATTGGCATGAGTTTAGGACGGGACTTTCTGTGTGCCTGACCAATAGCAGACAGGGGCAGTGTTCTGGAAACATGGTTGTAAACAGTTATTTTTTGCAGTTTTGTTTCTTTGAAGCAGTTTTCACTCAAAAATGTCTAGTTAATTTCACAAATAATTACAAAGAAATTACACATTGTTACACACTGGATCAAATGTGAGTAGAAAGACTAAAATAGTATACTCCAATAATCTTTGTTTTATTTACAACTTTGAAAATTATCTTTGGTTACAATTAATTTTAAGGTGTCCTTGTTACAGTGTAATTATGCATTTAAGTACTGAGTAATATTAATTAACTAACATCTCTTCGCCGCCTTCATTGAGTGGGTGCTGGTGTCCTGTAAATCACCGTTCACCGTGGATATCGCGGATGACGACACCAGCCCCACTCCGGACCCAGAGCCCAGCCCACCATCACCCCGCTGCGCGGAGCCAAAGTCTGAGCCCACCGCTGACGGAGAGCCAGAGCCCGCCGCGACCGACGAGCCATCGCCAGAAAGAGCGACAGTGCTGAGGATCGCCCCAGAGCCAGACCCCGTGACGTCAGACCAGGTGCGAGAGCCGGCTACAGAGCTCATCACGGGGGAGAGCGTCAAAGACAGCGAGAGCACGGAGGGAAGCTCCGCCCACTGCACCATGGCTGAGGGTGAGCTGAGCTCAATGGACTGTAATTCGGATATATATGCAGACATGCCCCCTCTTCTTCCGCCTTCATCTGAACTCTCTGCCTGCCCTGAATTATTTGTCTGCGCCGAATTATCTGCCTGCCCAGAATTATCTGTCTGCCCTGAACTTTCTACCAGTGGGACAGTGACCACGGAGGTTGTTCCACTGTCACTGGTGCTTTGGTGCTGGGAGGGGCCATGTGGTGTGTGTGGGCAGCACACACCGTTCCTAATCCTCCTGAGCATCCTGAACTCCCGCCCAGCCTCCCTCTCCCACCACCTCTGTACCAGTCCTCACCATCATCACTGCTGTCTCCTCATGGCTTCGTGGCTGTAGGATCCCTTGTCTCCGCCTCCAGAAT